TTGTCCAGAGAAGCTGTGACTGATCACCAACAATGATGCAACTGATTCCTCTGCAGACCCAAAGAGACTTGCAAGGGGATTAACACTGGAGAACAGAAAATGCTCTTGGCACAAAAGACCTCATTAGAATAGATTTATTTATGGAAAGAAGACAAATTTGAAGATGTCAGTTATATTCCACAGAAAACCTCTTTGTGATACGATGCTTCAAGAGCAAAGACATGTAACATATTTACTCTGTAAAGATTATTCAGGACCAATGCATTAAATGTGGTGGTGAAAATTAATCAGGAGATTTGGAAAAACCCATACCCTCAAGTAGGAGCCAAGTTCGGTTTCACGTATGTTAGAAGCTGCGTCTGTTGCCTCAAAAAGCTATAACATTGGTTAAAGGGATTCTGAGCTTGTTTGCAGGAGGATACAGTTTCAACAGACTTGCAGAAGTCTGAAATGTTAGAGTGGCCTTAAGACAACTTGATTATACATCACTAGGCCAATGTGACTTTTCACAAAGCATTTGTTACAATGTCCAGAAGTCTGCTGAACAACCAATTCAATTATTTCCTCCCTCTACTAGGTTACTAGAACTGGAAAAAAAAAAAAAAAAAAAAAAAAAAAGAAAGAAAAGAAAATTAAATCACAGTGTTTTGTGCAGTTTAGCAGGATAACCAAAAAGACATCCAGCAAGTGGCAGAGGTTCAGCCATAGAGTCCTTTGTCTCCTAATCGAAGGGAAAATAATGGGAGGAGATGTCCCTGTTGCACAGTAACTTGTTTTTGTACTTTGTGCTTGAAGCAAGAGACCTGATCTTGATCTTCAGGCCAAACCTGATATCCAAAGAGACCTATACAGAGGGTATAAGCACTAAGGACTTAAAAAACCCTAAATCCCGCAAGACAATTAAGGTCATGTTTGATTTCACAGCATGGTGATAGACCTAATCTGTCAGCACCACAATTAGCAACATGTAAGTGCCAAACCAAATGTCTGTTTCAACTCTGCTAAACAATACCTGTCCATGGTCAAGAGGTGAGAGTATTCCAACTGACTCAACAGCTTGAAGCTCCCTTGGTGTCAGCAGGGACTTCAGAAGGTAGTGAAGTCCTGGTTCCATGGAAATGCTGTTAAGATTGAGAGCATGGCTCTCCTTTAAAAGAAGACCCTATGAAACTTTAGAGAAGATCTGTATTTCATAGAAACCTTCCACATAACATTATAAAAACAGTACAGAGTATCATGACTGAGCACTAGAATTGTCAGTGTTATAACCTTAAGTCTGCCCCTTGGTCCATCACAATACCAGTCTGGCAAGGCATACTTTTTAGGAAAGATGGCAGGCTGAAAGGAAATCGTGGACAGTCTGTAGCTTCTATTAAAATGTGTCTCAGCATTTCTCTCAGCAGCTCTCAAGTCCCTCCCAAGCCAGTGGCTGTGTGTATGTCCCATCATTGTTCTTCCCTCACCCTCACTTCCTAAAATGGCAGGCTTTGTTTTCTGATACCTCTTTCCTGTGGAATCTGAGAGAGGGGAAAATCTGCTTCTGCCTTGTGGATACCCTGTATATTTTGAGAAGGACTTTTATCAAATTTACTATCAGCTAAGCACTGCCTGGTTCAGGTGATTCCTGAATGCTATGGGAGGTGACACTTTAGAGAACAGCCATACCTGGACTATATCTTTTTCCTGCTCCAACAGGCAGCAGGAATGTGGTACAAATGTTCTCCTTTCACTGCAGTTAAACTGTGACCCAGAATGCTACAACCGTAAATTCATCAGCTTTATCAAAATTAACAATAATAGCAAGAAAATTTCTGCAGGTTAAATTAAAAAATGTTTTCATTTCATAAGACCTTCAACCAGCACTTCAACCATAAAGTAGACATCAGTTGATTGTTGATAATTTTATCATATTTTAATTCTTGCTTATAAGCATGCTGTATTTTTTAGAAAAGATAAAAAGCAAACTATAAAGTTCCCCAGTTTTTAGTGGTGAGTATTTTGGTGTATGGCTCATGACATTTGAATGTAAATATATCTTACCTGAACAAAAGAACTATTTCCAGTTCCTCATCAACCATTAATAATGTTATGGTTAACCAATACCTCAGCACTGTGTCATAAAGTGTGCTGATTTGGACTCTTTGCAGAATGCAGATCCCCATTATTTGGGGGGAAAAAAAAGATTATGTAGGTGACTGTCTCCATTAATTAAGCTATTCAAATCCAATTAGCTGTTTCCAGAGGGTACTTTATCTCATTACAGTTCTCTCAACTTAAACAATAGAACAAACAAGCAAAAACTATAAACCCAATCTCACTGTTCCCAATGTCACAATGAGTTAATGTCCTGCTCACCAGAAAGTGAGCAGTGATGCTAACATGTCTGGTCAGGCATCTAAGGAGGGGAGCAAATCTGATGTTCATTAGAGACACTCATCACTGTCACAAGAGAATGGCAAGTCTTTGCACAAGAGTAGTGGCCCACCATGATCCTCATATTCCAGGAGCAAGAAGCTTTTGAATGTAACATGCCTTTGTAGGCATGTACAAGTGTCGCTACTGTGTTTAAAGGTGAGGCCACAGTTCTGTTCTTGACTGAGACGGCATTGCCCGTACACTGACAGTGCAGCACATGTGTGAGGATTTCCAAGACCCAGGCTCAACACTGTTGTTTCTCACACAGGATTTCACCCAGTCATGTGGAAGTGAAATGCTACCACACACCAAGTTGTTTTGCCATCTGGACACTGCTGGAAGCATTTTGCTTCTCATAAACTGATTGAGATCATCTTTCCTCATTAGCTAGGTCATTGAATGGCTGGCTATTGTGCCATGCTATAACATGCACATTTCAATGCTTAATTATTTTAGGCCAACAGCCTTCAAACTGAAAAATAAGGACAGATTCATAATTTTACTTTTCTTTGCTGAGAAATGCCCCAAGTTCCTGTTCAGTGCTACTTGGCAGTGTGAACAAACACCAGGTCATTTACTTAATACTGATATTGATTGGCAGCTCTAAGAGAAATACCCAGACATTCTTGTTCATTTATTGCCACCTTGCAGGACTCTGGCAGCTGACTGTAATCCAAGAGAGGACTCATAAAACCAGAGAGAGGGGGAACTAAAGGCCAGATATGCTGGGGAGCCCATGAGACCAGAAAACAAGCTGTTCTGCCAGTGACTCAGAAGAAATCTCCTCCCTTTGGAGGCCTTTTTTTTTGTTAGAGGGCAGGATTTGGATTAATGAGAGACTTGATGAATATAAGTAATAATATTGCTATTTGGGCACTTGAACAGCTAAGAAAAAGAATCCAAACAGTCTGAGAGTGCTCATAAAAATTGATAGACCCCGAACTAAAGCAATGGAGGACTTGGCAAGTTAGATCTCTAACCCTTTTGTCCATAGTTGCTGGCATGCAGGTGGGACTCAGTAGTTGCCAGGGATGGAGCAAACAGAGAATTGTGTTCAACACTGTACATCACCAACAAGCCTGAGAGAGAGAAAACAAATATGCCAAAGTGTTTTTAAATTAGAGGATTTCAAAACACTTGTTATTGATATAAAAAAGAGAAAATTTGACATACAGTTCCTTTCCTACACTGGTTTCTTGTGTCTGCAGTGCTGTACCATATCAGATTCTGTAGTAGTGCAAAATCACATGTCATGACCCTTCCCTTTGTCCTGCCCTCCTTCCACAAGAGGTGAAATTTCAACCTATATGGATAAACAGTGATTGAGAGATCAGATCTCTGTAACCCTAGTTGCCATCTGTGTATGGACTCAGAAGAAACAGCACCATAGACCTTGTTACTTTTTCAGATGACCTGGGCAGAAGCTGGAAATGCTGTGGAGGGCATAGCTGGAGGCAGCTGAGGGGAAATATGACACAAATCTGCAGGAATTCAATATCCATTTGTTCTTCTGTTGATAGAGCAATGTGCTTGCCTGTGACAACACTTGCAGCTTCAGCACCAGGGTCTGCTTTTTAATGATGGTGAGACCTAACAGCAGAATTTCCCTGTGATGTTTGAATGGTTAAACAGGTTTTGTTTTGGAAACTATGACAAGTATTATGATTAATGATTTTTTTTATGTTGCCCATTTCCTAGCTGTGTTGTAGCTAATTTTAGCCAGTGCATCAACTCTTTATGCAGTCACATGAAAACACACCAGTCTGTGAGGATTGTTCAGGGCTACAGGATGGGCACAGGAATTTTAGATGTCTGCAAAAGTGGCTAACTGATTCTCTTCAAGCACCCTCTCCTCTCTTCTGCCCTCCAGGCTGGCCTAAAAAGTTGAGGTCACAGATCTGTCAATAGATGCTGTGTCCAAAGTTTTGCCCAGTTACTAATTTTGACTGGCTCTGCAGGGTGATTTCAGAGTGTTCTGAAAGCACTGTCTTGGCCACTAGTGGTTCTTTACCCCAAGCTAACTATCTGTGAAACAAGATGCCCGTCCTCACTGAAAGCGTGTTGAAGTGCTGTTGAGATCTTAATAAGGTTGTGGCACTGAGGAGACTGTGGCAAGACAGAGTCTTAGTGTAAATGACATATTCATGTAGCACACACCCAGAACCCAATATGGGCAGGAGCTGGGTTAGGCAACTCTACAGAGCCTGAAACTGCCATCCAGGGAGGAGAGCAGAAATAACATGCATCAGACATGCAGTCATTTTGGCTGAGCCCTGAATCCTTCATTCATTCCAAAGACAACTTTGTAGATGATGAAATGAGAGGTTTGTCTTTGGACTGCAGCATTTACTGCTGATTTGAAGGAATGGTGTCAAGACTGATAAACTTGACAACCACTGGCCCTGGCCACTCAGGGAGATTGTGACCCTGGGGGAAAACCCTCCTTGTCGATATTTATGAGTAGGTTAAGATCCCGGGTGATGCTACAGAAGTTGCCTTCTGAGCATGTGAAAGTGTTACAGTCACCAAGAAACAGGAGTTTCTGGATGATCTCTTCAGTGACCCTTGTTGTTGGATCTCACCAGCTGTGAATGAGCCAGTGGCCACTGTCACCGCTTGTCAGTCTGTGGAGGACAGGGCATGATAACTGAAGACAGGTGGGTTTGAAAAAGGAGATAACTACTTGGTTGTGTCTTAATTCTGAAAACCTGCTCCCTTTCTGACATTCATATTCCTACATCATGTATTGGTGTATCTGCTGGCATAGTTGTCACAGATGCTTAGACTAAAATTAACTGCTACAGCCACCAGCCTGAACAATCGCATAATCTGTGCCACAGGGTTTAACCCACAACTTTGTCTCTGCTAACCTGATCCAGGTGGTCATTCCTATGAGGCGGAAGCGCACCAGGAGAGCCCTGAATGAACGGTGACTTTCTTCTCTGGCTGATGTACATTGATGTGAGAAAGCAATTGGACACAAAATTTCTCATCAAGTCCCCAGTTAGGGTAACATATTAGACAGGTCTGTTTTAATTTGTCTGACTTCAGGTTTTGCATCAGTACTTTCCCCAGTCAAGGTGGGAGTCATCTCACTTGACATCAGATGTCTCCATCTGAGCTGGCCTTCGTCATCAGTGAAGTAGGTACTTGTAAGGCATGAGTCATTTGCCCTCTTTTAAATGTCTGCATTGGCCTGAGATGACTCATGTTCTTCCCATTTACTACAAAGGAAGCTGAAACCTCAAGCTGAGATAACACCTTAAGATATTAAGACTAGTTGAGCACTATTCTTAATATCTCGAGGTGTGTCAGTGGCCCAGTCCCACTCCTGTTGTGCACTTTCTAAATAAAACAATGCATTTCCCCTGAGAATGATGTGTCTGATTCCCACCTACTTAATAGGGCACTCTCAAACCGGAAATAGCCCAGTTTCAAGTAAAGTGTTTAAAATGTCATGGAAATGCTTCCTGTCCCTGGCTTCTATCAAGCCGACTTCTATCAAGCCAGCTTCTACATTTTGCCAATGCTTTACAGTCACATCTTCCTCTTTTGTTTTTTTTTTAAACTATACTTCTCCAGCCATCTTCTCTTATGAGCCACTGAAAGATGAAACAAAACGTGAGGAGTGGACACAGCGAAGAGAGAAGCTAAGACATGCAACTAAGTCTGCCAGCTGTATGAAGTAAAATGATTGCCCAAAGGATGTTTTTCTCTTGTCTCTTTTCTTCAAAAAAGTAGTAGTTACTTATGACAGCAATACAGACTTCTCCAACAGAGTGATCTTAGTGGGCAGTGTCCATTTAAATTAAATTTTTCTAATCAAATAGTTAACTTCATCAAACAGTCAGAATCAATGCTTTGTATTAGACACAGAACCAAACTCATTAAGACTTTATTATTCAAGCATGCACCTCCCTTCAGCTTTTATCTCCCCTCAAGGGTTTTCATAGTAAAGCAGACTTTTTTTTTTTTTTAATTAGCCCTTCTGCCCTGGAGTCTTCTATTTGATTTTCCAGTATCCGGGGAAGTATTGTTTTTTTAAACTACTCAATCCTTGAATAGAAAATTTTGCCTCTTAGTTCTGTGTTATCAGTGATAATAAAGCTTCATGGAAGACATTTTGATAATGCAGAAACAGAAGTGCACAAAGGCAAAGTGACACTTCAAAGGAACATTAGCTCTGATATTAGAATCTCATTTATCTAACTTGTTCCTAAAGGACAAGTTAGCAATTTGTGGGGGTACAATTCGCACGCACACATGAAGTGGCATGAAAGGCCCTTCAGTTCAGCAGAGCTGCCTGATCCCAGTGCCCTTCAGTGTGTGGAGCTTTATGAATGTTGTGTTTTTATTTTTCCTTGACTTTGTTCATTTTCATATGAGAACCAATTGCTTACTTAACTGTTTCTCTGTGTGTTGTGAGGGATCCAGAAATGGTTTTACAAGGATTATTCTTGTTGTAGGAGGATCAATCTGCATGTTTGCTGCCTTCCCCTGTATGCTGAACAACCTGTGACAGCTCACCAGCCAGTGACGTGCGGTACCATGACTATCCAGGTGTACATCTCTGTGTCAAGGATGCTCTGCCTTTGCTACTTAATCTCATCAACAGGATAAACAATGCACATGCATCAATGCCTTATTAACCAATGTATGTGTATTCAATGGGCATAAGTGTATGTATCATACACATTATCTTATCCACTGGAAATAACAAATACATCACCTTACCCATTGGAAATATCACATGCACCCATTTGGGAACTGCAATTTTATTAATGGGATAAGAGCATTCGAGCACATCAGCAGCTGATGAATCTGTACCATGGGCACCACCCTGTAGGAGCACTAGTGAACTCAGAGCTGCTCAGAGGGGCTCATCCCAGTGCACCATCACCAAGGCAGAGAGGTTCATCCCAATATGCTGTGATCAAAGCAGAGGAGCTCATCCTGTGCTGCAGCAGCCAGGGTTTCCAGCAGCAGGAGGGGGTCTAAGACTGCTATTGCCTTTTCTATTATTTCCATCCTTTGCACCATAAACTGGTGTGCCAGTGTTGAGTGCTGGTTGCATCTCCATGACACAAAACAGCGTGGTGCTGAGCTGGGTCAGATAGACACACCCTTGGTACATTTCCATTCTGGCAGGTAAATTAATGCATCTATCTCCTTTCCTTTACCACAGACTTATTTCTATGCATGGCTGGCAACTGCCAAATTCTCCATACCTTGCTGAAAAACTGGATTGTTGAAACTGAGACCAAGAAGCTAAAGCTTTCAGTAAGAGAGAAGCTCAGGAGCTAGTTTAAGTGAGTTAGAACAGGCATTTGCTGAAGTTTTACCTCTGTTGTTTTCAAAATAACCTTCATCATGTGAAGAAAACAATGCAAATTCTGAGCAAGTTGTTCTCCAAAGTGGTAGATAGTTTCAAGCAGTAACTTTAAAAGGAAACCGTTCTACTCTTTTTTGTGAAAGAAGAGTTCTGCAACCTAAAAGTATCCATTTAAATGTCTATGCAAATTATTTCATTCAGTGATCAGTTTTGCTCCTGCTAATGAGTTCACTCATATCCTCCCAAAATCCCCAAATCTGGGAACTTCAAAGTTTTGCACTGTTCTGGGGAAAACCACAATAATAGCAAATGAAAACCAGAATATGTTGAAATAGCATAAAAAAACTGAAATTGCCTTAAATGGCTGTCAGACAGAAAGATTTTGCCTTGCTTTCTTGGTCCAATCAGGTCATTTGCAAAGTTAATTGCTTCTTAGTGTAAGCCTGCCAGAAGCAAGGCCCAGAGCAGTATAGAAGCTCTGAATTGTGCATTAATTTTCATAGTTACTCTGTGCGTTTTCATGTTTAAATTGGGTTGCCACAGAATCCCTGATCCATCCTGCCAGGGCGCTCCCAACAAAAGGAGACTTGGGGCAGAGCTTAGCACCATCCTACTCACAGCATGGGTTTGGAGATACAGTTTTCTTCATTCTGCATCACCAGCATGGAAGATAATTTCCCCTACAGTGGTGTTTGCTTCTCTGCCCCGCATTCCTGCAGGGTCCCAACACGTGGGGTAGCAGGCTGGCACCACAAGCAGATGGTTGGCTTTGCAGTGCCCCAGCACTTATTTCTTTTTGTTCTCCATTTTTCCATGGGTGTCAGGTTAGTGTGGATTTCAGCATGTTGCCTCATTTATGATTTTGATGAGCACAGTAGAGCAAGCCAGGCTAGGTCATGCTGTACTAGGAAGTTACTAGAAATCTCCAGAGCAGAGTCTCCCTGGTGCTTGTTCCAGCTTGTGCTGGGGATTCCCAGCCCCTCCGGCCTGATACCTTACCTGCACATGTGAGTATTTCCAACCTGGTCAGGTCCAGTCAAGGCTGTTTTTTGTCATAAATCACAGATCTTTGGTAACTTAAGGGGCGCATGGGGACACAAGTCATGTGTGAGTCAGGGATTTCATGTGCTCTGTGTCCTGAAGCTGGCTGGCTGGCAATCTGAAGAATATGCTGCTCTTAAATTATGTGGTAAAAATAGCATTTTTAATACAGATTATTTTCTTGGAACATTTCTAGTGGACTGAAAGAGAAGCTTCTCTTTTTAGCCAGACCATGATTAAGACCATGCCAAACATACCACCTATGCTAGGTATTAAAAACAAATACCTAAGTCTAAGGAACTGCTTAGTTCATTAGCATATCTAGAAGCACCTCAGGAAATAGGACTACCTCAGACCTTTAGTATCCCCTAGCCTATCCTTCTGCTCCAAGGCAGAATCAATTAGATGTAAACCATTTTTGACAGGTATTTTCCTAATCTGTTATCGGAAACCTTCAGCACCCCAGGCAATTTCCCCTAGTGTCTCACAATGCCTAGAGTTAGGAAACTTAACTTTCTGGTCTGAGTCTCCCTTGATGCAGTTTAAGTTCACTTCTCCTTGTCCTACCTGTGGTGGAAAGACTATTCCCTGCATATAAGTAGCAGCCTGTTTGAGGGCTGCAGTCCCCATTCTTAATTTTCTGTTTTCCTTTCTGTTCTCACTGAGCACTGACTGTTTGTAGTCTCTTCTTACTGGTGGCGTTATTTAGACACCCCTAACCACCCTAGCTCATTGCTTTCCCTCGAACTACTGAAATGTATCAACTGCTTTTGTTTTGGAGCACTGTTAGATGCCAAGTACAGGACTCCAGCAGCTCTGTCATCCTCAGTGTCTAGTGGATGACACTTACCTGTATGAATCAAATGTCTCTCCTTTTTCACCACAGTGTGTTATCATCCATTTATGTTAAATTGGGAACCCATTAGGGAACCCTTAGGTCTTTCTGCAGAGCTTCTGGTGGGTAGGAAGACCAAGAGCTACAGAAGTAAAATGGTTTGTACGATCCCTCTCCAGATCAGAGGCAGGGGTGGGAACAGGTAAGAGGAGGTTGCTTTTAGAGAACTCTGTGAAAAGCAGGAAAAGAACATGGGAATGCAAGTATCAGTGGTTCAGAGGGAACCTGCAGGCTGTTTGTAAGAGTTCTCATCAGAGTTGCAGCCAGTTCTAAAATCACTCTCTTGCATCCCAGCCCACTCTGGAGCTTTCACTGTTTGCTCCAGACAAATCCAAAGCAGTCAATCCAGCATTTACAGTGTTAAACAAGTCCACGAGGTGATGAAGGCCATACAAGATCAAACTAATTTGGGGCTTCAGCTCACTCAGATACACACCTGGAGTCCTCCATGAGTGTTTTCCTGATGTGCCAGAGTGCAGTTCAGAAGTGAAACCAGCCAGCAAAGCAAACACTCTGTGCTGTAGAGGCAGTCAGACCTCACTCACATGTCTCCACAGCACTGTCACAAGGTGCCTGGCTGAACACAGCCCCCTCCATCCCTCCCTGACACAGTGCTGGGTCAGGAGGTGCAACACTGAATTCAGAGGGGTCACAGCAATGTGCTCAGGGCCAGAGTGCAAGAAGGATGCCACTGATGCACTAAGGGTGACAGGATAGGGAATGAGAAAATGGGACCTGGAAAGCTCTCAGCATATTGCTCCCTTGTTACCAGTTGCCATTTGCATTGAGAAGGCAACTTTGTTTTCTAATCTTTGCCAGCACGGGGCATATTTCCTGACTATTTGGAGTGGTCAAATCAGGTAAGTTGCTCTCATTGAAAGGCAGATAGCTTGGAAATGAGAAAATGTGGGTTTGGAGATAGTCTGGGTTTGAAGAAAGCCACCTTTTGTTTTTCCTTAATGCCCTATTGTTTATCAGGTTCTGACAACGCTTGATCCCATGTGCATAGCATCCGTGTCTGGAAGGAAGGCGCATCTCAGTGAAAAGATGCACAAGGCTGTCATCTTGGTTGCAGAGAAACAATAGGTCCAGGAGGCACTGCTGTCAGGAGCAGAGGGGACATGGAGCCTCGCAGCTGTCACCCTCCGAGTGAAGGTCCCTATTCACTCACCTCCTGCCACCCATGCTCAGTGGGGCTCCAGATATTCCCCCCTCCCTCTCCATGTCACTGAAGAGCCCCCAGGGATGCTAATGCCATACCCTCTCCTCTGCACCATGAACAACAAGCTCTGTTCTGAACTCGGTTTACTAGGAAGCTTCACACCAACAATTAGAAAAGATTTGGGATTTGGTTGGGGTTTTGTTTTCTGCTTTGTTGTGGGTCCACAACAATGAGCCAGCTCCCATGCACCCATCATAATTATTTATGAATGTTCCACAGAGACCAGGTCCTGCCAGAAAGTGATTAAGCGAAATGCTTGCTGGCTGCACCACTTGGCTGTCGTGGCAGTCGTCCCCACTGTTCACTGGCAGAACAGGATACCGCCCCTATTCAAATAAGTAGACCACTTAATTGCCTCTTCTGGAAGAAAAGGCTCTTTCCAAATCCTCAGCTTCTTTGAAAACAGCAGATTCAAAAACACTGTTTATATCTGTATAAAAATACATGCATAGGTGTATTTACACGGCTGTAGTTAATGCAGGCACACT